TTGGACTGAATGAGGAAACGGTAATTACTATTGTACTGTAGGTGGTGTGTAATAAAGGCGAAATAAGCTTCCTGCATGCTCGAAGAGAATGGGCAGTGACTCAGTGGGTGATAGCTTGCTTTGCACTTGAAGGAAGTTGGGTAAAAATTCTAAGGCTCAGTGTAAATCTTTCCTTATGAACTAGTAACTCCAGTGAGCAAGAAATTTACCCCACTGATCTTCAGTGCAACAAACGGAAAGATGGGCAGGTCCGTGACCTGCGAATAATGGGAACAACTTGGTGTTTTAATGTTATCATGCCTAAGGTGTGAGACAATTGATCATTTTGCCTAATACATGCCTCTTCCGGTTGCAATCCCTCTTGACGCAGCTGAAAGCTGACCTCAAATCAACACTAGGTGCAAACTGAAATCTTAAACATACTTTAAATTTAAATTGTTGGGTGTCGATCTTCTGAGCACTTTTATGTCCGGACAGAGTTTGCAGTATCCTAACGCTTGCAATTATATGGAAAGTATAACGTTATGTCTCTTTCTGTCCCTCATAATAGCACTCATTTAGCTATACTGGAAGGATTAAAGACAAATGACTCGGTCCATGATCGATCCCAGGACCTCTCGACGGTAGGTTCAACGCTGAACCGATTGAACGACCCGGATTATGTAATGCATAAGGCTATTCAGGAAGACGTCCTCTGCTGTAACCTCATCTGCATGCAACAGACAAGAACAATGACCCTCGCAAATCTGCAATTCCCCATTTGCTCTGTTACCTAATGGACGCCAAAAGATTTGCAGCTAGTCTTGGACAGAGTCTCCATGCTACATATTGCATTTGAAAACAACGTATCGCAGTCATAAAGTTTCTAACTTTAACCGATGTACACGTGCAACTAATGCAAAATTATGGTCCAGAGTGAGAATCTGCCTGTACCCCTGTGGGCTGTCATTAATTCGTATTTGTAAGTCACAGATTAAAGTTAGACATGTAGCAGACAGCGCAGAGGCTGCGGATATGAGTAAGGGCATAAATTGAGGTACATTTTACATTAACTGAACTTCGAATCTGTTTCACTCAATATCGGTGTGAACTGGCCACATCGCTGTGGGTCGTAGCGTACGTGAAACGTGAGGCAGTGTTGCTGAAAATTAGTTGCATCATGAAGCTTTCGTTTTGTAGTAAAGCTGAAGTCGAACTTGCCGCACCACAGTAGCAGGTAAGTTATGTTTAAGCGAAGTATAGAGATCCTATGTAAGGAAAATGGCAGGTGATCAACCATTCTGTAGGTTGGTTATGAAGTTTAGCTTTCGCATATTTCAAACTGATACGCATCAAAGTTCTGCTGCAAATAGCGAAGGCGATAGAGAAAATCTTTGAAGTCAGGGACTTAAAACGAAGCGAAAACTTTCCAGTTTATTTTATGTAAATCTTTGAAGCATGTTGTTTTTAGCGGAGGGAACAGCTGGGCCTTCGGACGACTGTCATCAATCAGCTCAGTGAGTGAAATGCGATCAGTCAACGATGAGTAGGCTTTGACTTTTTACCGGTAGGCCGATGCTGCTCCGTCCGAAAACAAAAACCTTGTAGAGAAGTTCATAAAGGTTCAGAAAGTGGGCGAATGGCCATCGCGTGCCTCGCCTTACCAGCGTATCGAATTCTGTGCTATTTCGAATGAGCGTCGCGTTACGCGACCACAGTCACAACCCGTTGCAGGACATGAAAACATTATTATCTTAAGCCGGCATCTGTCTTGTAGAACCGGAATCAGGTGCGAGGTCGGCGTAAATAAATAAGCGGCATGTCCAACATGGGCCTGAAAAGTGACATGCTTGTTTTCAGCACACGAGCATAGCGCAGGGCGGCAGGGTAGCAGTTGCGCCTTGAGCGCACCTTGACGTGAACGCTGCCTCTTTCGCCCCTGGCCGTTGCTGCAGCGCGTGAGCAACGAAGGCAAGCGAAGAAAGAGGCAGAGGCAGACGTAGACACGAAACGACACAAGCGCCGTTCGTCGTACTTACGAGGGTGGCGGCTGAGAACGAGCCAACAGAGGAGGAGGAGAAGAGTGCACCTCGGTCACCGTTATTACGCATCGGCTGGTGAACAAGGTCCTGCCTGGTTGTTAGGCCCCGTGTCGCGCCGCCCTCTTTTACTAAAGCCACTTCGACGAAGGTCCAGCTCCAAAGCTGCCTTCAGCCCCACCGACTACCCACCGAT